GTGGCCAGCTCAGCCCACCAGGGGGCGGGGCTGGCTGGCATGTGGTGCTGGGGGATTGAACCGCGGTCCCTGTGCTCTAGTTAAGCTTGTTCTAAGTAGGTGCTTTAGACCACTGAGCCATCTCACCAGCCCGGAACTTGGTCTTTAACGATGTTAGATGTGTTTTTACTGTGCCAAAATGTTCTCGAGCTTTCAAACACCTCTTTGGAATGTCCTGAAACCCAGCACCCTGATGGACCCCTTGCAGTAGAGTTAAAATCTCTTGAGCTGTTTGTTCTAAACTCTGTAGAACTTTTCGGATTTCCTCTCGGATGTCCTGTTCGGCCGCCAAAAAGCCCTGCAGCTCTACGAAGATTTCGCTCACAGACATGGCGCCAGGTACGCAGCAATCAGCCAGTGTGGCAAGGGCGACCCCAGAAACGCGTTCCGCAGACTACCAGAGCAGTCTATCCCTACGCCCGTCACTGCCGCGTCCACCCGGCCCTACCGAGGGTATACTTTCTAATGAAATATTTACCATTTTGTCCAACATTCTGGAGGCTAAAAAATTTGCCAAATTCTGGATCTGCAAAGCAAAGCTATTGGTAAGAGAAGGCACCTTAGATGTCACTGGGTTGTACAAAGAGGCCATTAAAAATGGAGCAAAACCAGTTGTGGGAAGTTGTTCTGAATATTGCATAAGATCAAAACAGAGTTACGCAAGGAACTGCCTCTGACTCTTCAGTTGCTGCAACTAATACCAATTGATGGAAGAACTGGCCAGGAAGATGGAACCTGGAGAGTCCTGTCTTCCTGCAGAGGACAAGGACCAAGTTCCAGCAAGGCCCCAAATACCTGAGGCAGGGCAGGATAATCATCCTGGTATCAAGTTACAGATCTCTTTCATCCCTAGAGTAAGTGGAATGCCCAAAGCACAAGAAATGAAGCTTATCACTCCTGTGCAGCGTTCAGCAAGGATTGAGCGAGCCGTGTCCTGCTACCTAGAAATGTGCAGGAGCTGTTGTCTTCTCTTGCCAAGCTATTAAAAATGGAAGAAACAATGCTTTGTATTCTATAGAAATGAAGCCCTGCCTGTAACATTAAGGTTTCAACCCCTC